ATCGACGACGTAAGTCCATAGTTGGAATTCATCTCCATGGACAGGTGATGATTTCCAAAGGGGGGACTGTAGTGGACTAAGCCTACGTCGAAACCCAGTCTAAGGTCAAAACTCTTGACCTTTAGAACCTTGTGGGACAGAAGCTGTCATTTCATGTATTTGACTCCATAAATACAGGTTCACCCATCCTGAGACTTTCTTTCTTGAAGATTCAAGTGAAAAGAACACTCTCTTTTTATTATCATTACTATCTTACAAATGTTGATAATCAAAGTGTCTTAGTTCAAACCATTTTAGATGTTGCAGTGAACTAATCAATTTTATTAACTGAGTAATGATTTTATTCTCATGTTAAAAGCTGTGGCAGAGTAATTATGCATTTCTCTGATTTCTGCTTTTGAATGAGCAAGTGTGTGCGTTTACAAGGTTACAGTCAAACGAAAAACAAGTTGTTATGTTAAAACTGTCATGTTTTAGAATCCTCTCAGACGTAAATAGAGATGTTTTGCACCTGTTTCTTAAGGCACGCCAAAACAGAACCCTCTCGGTCTGTGAGAACATTTCTGAGCTGTCTCATAACAATTCTCGCTGTCTCTAACCTCTTACGTCACAAAAACACACCCCTTCTGGTCGTTTCTGACCAATGAAAAATCCCAAAAAGTGAACCGGGAAAGAGTCTTTAAAATGTCAGTACTTCCTGGTCTACACAGACTCAGAGACTCACGGAGTTACAGAGTTGGAGAGTTGTCAGACTTCTAGAGTTCTGGAGTTCTGATGGAGTGCTGTTGGAGTTCCTGACATGACAACGAAGCTCTTCCGAGTTCCATGGGATTATAACATTTTCCACTGAGGTGAATATGTGTCGAACAGAGCCTCGCCACTACTTCTGACGGGCAACAGCCATTCTAAGGAGACGCTGGACCGGTAGCGTTAACGGAACACCATATCTGCTGATTATCATCAGAGAGGTAATGGGTCAAGTTTCCTACCAAGCGTACCGAGGCGAGCTGGGCTTCTGATGGAGAGTGTCGGTTCTGGCGAACATTCCTCCCCTCCCATTCAATCTTAACTCCCTCTAAACTTCTTCCCATCTTTAAACTTTTCTATCAAGTAGAAATTCTTCCAGATATTTAGAAATGTCTGTGTAAAATGCTCACCCACATTCATGTGGGCAAAAGATCATAGTTGTACAGTTTTATAAATGTCTGTGGTGCAGCAACGGAAAAATCATGGCCGTATGATTTTTCCTGATTGATTGCTTTGTTGTTATATTCATAATTTGCCAAATTAATGTACATGTTTGATGTTAAATTTGATTCTGTAAATAAATGACCGCATTCATTTTGATGGGTCAAATCTAAATGACGTCTCACGTTTGCATTTCCTTAAATTCAATGCACGTTTTATTCAGTCCAGAAAAATGAGGAACTCGCGTTAAATGATGAATATATCCCAGCATCTGTTCATCTACAGGAACTCGTAGGTTTGAGCACATTTCACGTTTTGTCATCCCTTCACTGGCTCCCTGTACATATCAGAATTGATTTAAAAATTCTGCTATTGACCTTTAAGTGCATTAATGACCTTGCACCCTCATATCTCTCTAACCTACTTCAACCACATGTTCCTTCTCGGGTGTTGAGATCATCTGACCAGCTGCTTTTGATTGTACCTAAAACCAGGATGAAGCTTTTTCAGTCATTGGCCCTAAACTTGGGAACAATCTGCCCCTCAACATTAGACAGATCACTTCACTTCCTGTTTTTAAATCTCTCCTAAAATCTCACCTGTTTTCACTGATTTAACACATTGTGACTTGATTTACTTTTTCATTGTTTTTTGTGCTTTGATGTTTTTATTTATGCTTTTTGATCTTATTGTTAAGCACTTGGTAACAGCTGCTGTTTTAAATGTGCTTTATAAAAAATGTGACTGACTGTGTGTTTCTGCTCAGGGTCTGCAGGAGATTATAAACTGGACGCTCATGGAGACAGAGACGTGAAGCTCACAGTCATTTACACCACAACGAACAACAAGGTAGACTGTTTGTGACTGTCTGGCTTTTAGTTCAAGACCTCACAAAGAACAAAACAAAAGACTTGATTTTTATTCTCTTAGCGTTGGTTTTGCATGAAATCTCTCGTTTTCTGTTCCTCTCATGTTGTCTTCAGTATAAAACTTTATTCACCTTTGACACTGAGTACAACCTAACCAAAGTGGTGGACAAGGATCCTCTTTACATTTGGGGAAAGAGACTTCCTGAGGGCAGGCCAGACAATGGTAATGATGAAACACACACTCTAATCTTTACCCCTTTACGGCCGCTCAGACAGACAAACAACACACCTGACAGGTGAGCTTTAATCTGCTGCCAACAAGATACAAGATCAGAGGGATAAAATGTCTTTAGTTATTTATGTAGTTGTTGACAATGTGCCAGGTAGAGTGAATTCAAAGTACAGAGATAAAAAAAAACAAACACACATTTATAGGCTTGTTAGTGCTGGGAAAAGGTCCTAAAGATTCAGGAGTAACTTCAGCTTGTAAAGGGTCCAAGCCTTGAAATAGAGAGACTTGAAATGGTTTGAGGGTCAGTTAGGAATCAGGCGCTCTCAGGTTAGACTTGATTAAACTGTTTCTGATGTTTCATTAATAAAACATCACAGGCCTCAGTTTGCTCGGCGTCTGCTTGATATAATGTTTATTCCTGTTCTTGTGTTGGCCCAGTGGTGTAGTCTACATTTTTGTAGTGGGTATACTGTGCTTAGAAACCAAAGTGCACTGATTTGTACAATGTCATCGTCAATTTATTTAGATTTTTAACCATATTGAACATTTCCAAATTTCTTTGATGCTTATATTTGAATAAATGAACAACAAACTTTGCACAACAGTTGACTTTGTATTAAAAACATGTTAGATAATTTATAAAACCATATCGAAGCAAAACATGTTCAAGTATTGAGTAGTAAGTACAGAATTATACAATAATTCTCTGGATAAGCACATGTAATAAACAAGCGCTGCATACAGACAGATTGTTACTGAAGTGTTTAACTGCAGTTTAACTTTAAATAAAACCTGGTTTAACATCAGATTTTAGAAATAATTTCCCTAAATGTGACTCTAAAGTGTCATCATGAAGGTTATTGAAGGACTTGTTGCTGTATTATTTATAGATTCATATTTCTGAGCTGTAATCCTACATTAAAGTGATATTGAAGCTATTTAAATGGTAAATGGACTGTACTTATATAGCGTCTTATTATTTTATCAAGATACTCAAAGTGCTTTACACTACAATCTGTGCCCTCATTTATCCATTCACATACACATTCATACAGCATACTAGATCTAAACAAAGACTAATCATTGCTTTAGATCAGGGGTTCCCAACCCTGGTCCTTGAGAAACACTGTCCTGCAGGTTTTACTTGGTTCCTTGATTTGACTTGCCTGATTTGAATGAATCGGTGATAAACAGGCTTCTGCAGAACTTGAGGAAGTAATGAAATCACTGAATCAGGTGTGCTGGAGCAGGAAATAATTGAAACATGCAGGATGGTGTTCCTCAGGGACCAGAGTTGGGAACAACTACTTTTGATCACATTCATACACCAATGGGACACATCAGAGGCAATGAGGGGTTCAGTGTCTTGCCCATGGACACTTCAGCATGTGACTGCTGGTGGAGTCCC